CTTCCTAAGTGTCCCCATCAAAGTTCGTGCATCAAGTGGTAAATTGACATCAAACACACTTAACAAAAGTAACAAAGCAGTCAGCGCAACTAGAGTTATATGAAAATTCAAAGCCCATTGACGTAACTGTGTTGAAAATTTCGTATCCTTCATACGCGCCTCATCGTCACTTGGATAATCTGGAATTTCAAAGTCATCTTTGCCAATGTCATCTTCGCTAAGTTCACTGTCAGTTTTTCTTGTGTCTTCATTAGTAGTTATTTCAGTATCTCTGTCGGAAGAATCGTCATTTAGAATAAAATTATCCGTAGCATTGTATTCCATTGCGAAGGACTCGCTCCCATTAATCTCATTACACTGTTCTCTTGAATTTTCATTATTGCCAGTAAATAATGAAGACGAACTAAAGTCAATGGTTGACCTGCCTGCATTTGATTGAGGTCCGTTGTCAGCAAATGAAGGTAACTTGATATTGGATGAAGGAAGTTGTACGTCAAGGTCTCCTGTCTCAGTGTTTTCGAGCGAATTAATGTTTACGTTCAAGTTACTTGCAGCTAATGGAAGTCCGTTGTCATTGGATGACTGGAAGTGTATATTAGATATTCCGGGTATACTTTTTTCGACATTTGTAGATGAATTCATCTGAGATTGCAAAAAGTTACGGTCAGCTAAAATACGATCTTGAACGATCTTTCGCAAGCGGCGTTCGGATATGCCACATACTTTGGATTCTTTCTTTGTGACTTTTCCCATGATTGCTAAAATTAGTTTATAACACTATCAAAAATACAGAAAGAATTCACATTACAAATTTCAATAATCTTCTACTTAATTTTTGCTCGCTCAGCTAAGTGGTCAGTAAACTTTAAATTCAATAAATTTGAATCAAATAAATGGTATTTAATAAAAATACAGAAATGGTTGCTTCGAATAAAAAAAACTATTTGGTTCAAAAATCATATATTATTCATTGATCTAGTAACCAATTAAATATATGAAATAAATATTTTAGCAGCATAGTTAGAATAGAACCAATCGCATTTATTGTTTAGTCTTTAAAACTTTCTACATTACAATTTTTTCTTTGCATTTCTTCAAAAATTTAATGAAATACACAATATTACTTACACACTTGAGAGCTCACAAGAGGAAGTTAAAGTTGCAGTACTCAAACCGTAGTCAGATGTCCCAAATCGGTATTTTCCAAATTCTTTAACGTAAAATTTAATTTTAATAAGTTAGTGAAGAAATTATTTAAAATAAGAATACATCTTTTCATTTAAAAAAGTATGTTCTCATGTCAGTTTATTATAATACTTCACGAAAAATTAGAAAAAGTTTCTGACATTGTTTCTTTAATTTCACTTTTTATTTTTCTATATAAGTTCCTTTAAATATAGTAATATAGCTGTCCTCTATTTCCCTAAAAGACCCGTTTTTAAATTCTGGGTCCCTAAAAGTACCCTATTTTGAAACTTTTCCCTAATTTTCTCTTTTTTTCCACAAAATCAGTGTAAAATTAATTAATTTTTAAGGTTTCGTTCACACAGTGAACAGTGACAACACTGAGAATTGGTACATTTTTGCCATTTTTTTCGAGAAAATATAAAAATACATGAAAATCTTTCGATAAATTTGCTTGTAATTAAATTTTATCGAAAGTTTTTGACATTTTTAAAAAAAAATAACAAAATACTTAAAAATCCCTCGATGAATTTACTTGTAATTGAATTTTGTGGAAAATTTTTCGCTATTTTTCTAGAAAATCAAAAACTCAAAAATCCTGTCATTTAATTACAAGGTAAAATTACCTTGTAATTAAAATCTTTCGAAAATTTTTTTTAGTTTTTTCAAGAAAATGCAAAAATACTAAAAAATCCACCTTGGTTTTGCCAATTAATTTTGTCTAAATTTTTGTTATTTTCTCGTGAAAATGAGAAAAAATAGAAATCTCCTGGATGGATTTGCTTCTAAATGAATTTTATCAAAATTTTTGCCATATTTTCGAGAAATATCACAAAAAATAACAAATCCCTTGATAGGAGCAAACCACCGAAAATCATCTGGAACTGGTCGCTGACATATTTTTAAAAAATCTAGTTTTAATATTATGTTAAACTAGATGAATTTCTGATTTTAATGCAAAATTAAAGCAAAATACCCTCTTCAAATTTTAATAGCACATTAATAATATTTCTAAAAAAATATCTGCAAAACTTGGAAATTTTTGAAACATCCAGAAAGAAGTTATAAGCTTCCAAAAATTTTGAAATTTTTGCAACAAAATTTTGAATTTCAATTAAAATTGTGAAATAAAATAATTTTGTGACAGTTCCATCATTTCTACTTGCAGAAAAAGCTGATTCATGTTTCTGGTAAGAAATAACACGTCTAATATTTAACAGTTTTTAAATAATAATATACTTTATAAAATTTTGTTCGAATTTTTTTAAATTTTAATTATTTTATTTTTGATTTTATTTAATTTTAAAACTTTTAAGCACAAAAAATTTTTTTCCCATGATTTTTTAATGTTTAATGTCTAAAAAAACAAAATTTTCCCTGACTTCTGGCAACCCCGAATTTGTAAAATATTCATTTAGAGAGATTAAATTTAACCCTTGATTCAATTAAAGTGTAATATTTTTCCTACAGAATTGTAAAACGTTCCAATTGAATTTACTTTAAAATGTGAAAAAATTGTTAAGTCAAACAAATTTTGTTGAAAGTTTGAAAGAGTTGTGAAAATCTACATCATTCATGAAGTTGAAGAAAAATTAAAAAAATATTTAAGGTGAGTAAAAAATATGTAGTAATGACCGTTTACATGTGAGGTGCTTATTAAATTATTTTTATTAAGCACTTTAAGAGAAAACTGGAGAAATCCAGCACTTACCCGGGCTATTATTATTATACAACTTAAACATATCATCAAAAATAATAATCATTACTATGCAAATATTTTTAGTAATGGCTTAAAAAACCTTATAATGTTTTGTTTTTATATACAAATATCGTATTTTTGTCACGGAATTGAAAATAAGTCATTTATAATTTGACGAGGTACAACATAACCTCTAAAATAAACATTCCCTTATATTTTTACATACCTATTGAATTAGTTCAAAAACTGATGAATTAAAAATATAACTTGAATCGTGCTTTTTGTAGAATAATATCCCTGGATGATTGTATTCTTATGTGTACAATTAAAAGTGCTCGATCAGGGCAAACACATCCTAAATTCATATGATGACTATACATGCGATATTGAGGTTAAATATACAAAATAATATTATTACTTGCAATTCTCACAATAGCGTCTATTTATGGATCTACTCCTGTCTATGAAACAGTGATAAAATAAAAAAAGTATGAGATATTTCACTGATGTAAATTAATAATTTAAACGTGGAACGCGAGCCTGAACGAAATGCTTCTTAGCAGACGAATATGCCATAATCAGTTCCCAGCGTTTTCTCTCCTTGTGCGCAACTCAACTCTACAGCGGCCTGTTTCCACTCATTATATCAAAATTATCTATTGTACATATTTTACATTTAAATAATTACTCCTTAATACAAATAATACAAATAATTTTAAAACAATTTTAATAATGTTTTAATATTCATATTGCGGAAATAACGTCACTGTAGACTATATAATTTCGACGTCATTTCCTCAGTATGAATATTTGCCACATAATTCTGCCAATTTTTTTATATTGAAAAAGTTAAAACGTACATGCATTAAAAATATGCTTTTTATTTATCAAAAAGTAATTATTGCAATATAAAACAAACACAGCAAAGATGTAAATACAGGAGAAATAGAAGCTTATAAGTTAAGTATAGCTGCGCCATCAAGTTGCGCAAAAGACGCAGCCGGCTTGTAGCTATATATTCCAAGAATTCCATTACTGATTGTGCCTCGTGTTGTGTTCATGCTCGTGATATCGCGTTAAGTTTTATTTTATTTGTCTAATTTTAAGATTTAATTTTTCTTATATATAAATAAAGTTGGATAAGAAATAAATTTTGAAAATTGTAAGTAATAAATTATTTTAATATATCTAGTTTAACCTCTCTGTAACAAAATGCAAACACGTGCGTGAACGCATGTAGACCGCATTAAAAAAAACAGACTAGGATAATCAAATTTTTCTTAGTATAGTGTTTCAGTTTTAAGGCTTACAGATGCTACTATTTTTAAGAAAAAATATTTTTTGGTCAACAGTATCCTTTTTCCAGACACACATTACATGTCTTATAAATATTCGCCCTTGAAATACATTTTTAATACTTTTATAAAGTACACAAATTAAGTGCAAAATACTGTGATCAAAAATTATTTTTCTTTAAAAGAAAGAGGTAGAATTTTTTTCAGAAATGTCTACATTTTCGACTTATGAATTTTTTAAATATTGGTTTCATAAAAGTAAATGTAACTTACAATTATTATTGAGTTTAAAAACATTTCGTGGTTTACGCGTAACATTAACGCACATTTTATGGAGGTTGTTTTACTGTGATTTTTAAAAAAACTTACAAAAGAATTAAAATCTTTGTAAAAAAATGAATTTTTATAAAAAGAATAAATTAATTTAAATTTAGATAAGTTAAGAAGATATTTTGTTAATTACCTGTTTTAGAAAATTGAAAACAGAAGTATGACAAGCAGAAACAACGAGGGGTACTTCTCAAAAAAATCTAAAACTTTACTTAATCAAAGACCTTCAGGCTTTTTAAAAATTGCGCTTTTACCACAATTGAAGACTATTACTACAAATAATCAAACTTTCTATTTCTTGATACCAAAGTTTTTGATGTTTTTTTGGATGTCGAATACGATATCGAGTCCCAGAATTGTCTGGCACGTCAGGATTTTAAAGAAAATAGTGGTATAATCCCAAAAAACGTGCTTATGTGTTTTTAATTATTTTGTTTGTTTTTTAAATTTAAAGTGCTAGATATTTCAAAAGTCTTAAATTAAAGCTTGCAACCATTCATTCGGACCAAATAAATTAAAAATTTCCAAAAACCAGTTTTTAGGGATTTTTGTCCCCACTTTTCACGAAATCCTGATCTATGCACTTTTGGGACGTGCAATCGTGTTCAGTATCTAAAAATACATTGGTAACCACTACGATATCAAGAAAAAAGTTTTATTATTTTTCGTGATATTTTATTAAACGATCCGAACCCCGATGAAAGTTGGACTGATAATGGCAAAAAGTGGTCAATAAAGAAAACATATCACTTCTACGGTATGCATTCTTTTTAAAAATTATTATTATTACTATTATCATTAAAATAATATTACTGAAAAATGATTTTCAGAAACTCTGGAAGAAGCCGAAAGTAAAATCGAAAATTACATAAAAATGTTTAATTTGGAGACAGACGACGAAATTATTTTGAAAAAAACCAGACACCTAAGGGCAAAGAAAATAATTTCTTAAAGTGATTCTGAACAAGAAATGGAGAAACATAATTTAAAGTTAAAATTTAACCCCTCTATCCCATCAGCTTTGAAAGGTATGCGTTCCCTGGGAATTTAAAAATAATAATTTGCTCTACACCCTGTTTATCAAATATAAATGACTAATTAAGAAACTAACTTATTATCATAAGAGTAAAAAAAATCGGTGTTTAGTTTACTTATCTGAATGTTTATAAATTCAAATTTTACGATTATTTAAACAATTTTCTTTTAATATACATATAACATTAATGTATTTTGGTCCTACAGACAATAAAACCAGTGAATCGTCAGCAAGTAGGAAGAATAAAGCAGGTATAAATTTGCCACCATCAAATGCAGAAGAAGATAGGAGTGTGACTTTAAAAACGAGTAAGTGAATAATTATTAAAATCAATTTTTTGCTAAGTTATTAAGCAAAACAATGTTATGTTGCTTCATTGCTTATATCATTAATGTATTTTGGTGAAAAATTGTCTCTATCAAATGCAGGAGAAGATAGAAATGTGACTTTGAAAAAGAGTAAGTAAATAATTATTAAAAGAAGTTTTTTGCTAAGTTATTAAGAAAAACAATGTTGTGTTGTTTCAAATCTTAACACACAAATTTCAAGTTAGACTAGTCAGAAAAAAAATTCCTCTCCTTTAAAATATTTTTTATCATAGTGATGTGTCAAATGGACAAGAAATTGAAATTGCTAGGTAGTGGTTAAAGAATTTTTATGAATCGTTTTCTTCAAACAAAAAACATTAAAAATTATGAGAGAATAAAAAACATTTTTAAATGAATTTTATAATAAAAAATTTTATGTAATTCACGAAGAATAATTTTATTTTTCTTCGTGACTTTTAATAAAAATTTTGTAGAAAATAAACGGTCCTAAATTTCTCGAATATTAAAGAATTCGTTAAATGATTTTATATTTTAATTATATTAGATGAAAAAATTCATTGATATAATTTTTAAGTAATACGATCTTCAGTTAAAATTTAGATATTACCATATTTTAATATTTCGTTTAAAGTTTCGCGACTCATCAATTTACAAATTATATAAGGTATGTTCCACGTCAAGCGGACCAAAGCTCTGCCCATAATTACACGCAATTTAAATAAACTTATAATATATAAAAATGTTCGTACACATGTAAACTTTCAAAAAATGAGTGGCAAATTAAAAAATTTATAATAATGCTTTTGTTATAACAATTATAAACCATCATAAATGGAAATGCGTAAGTAAAAAAATGTCTCATTTAAAGACAAAAATTTTAAAATCTAAAGTCATAATTGTTTCTAATGTTTTCGGGGTCGCTGATTACGAATCTGATGTCAGAATTGAAAAATTCAAAATGACGGATCCAATATGGCGGCCGAATTTTAAAAAAATCGTTTAATTCGTTTGAAACTTGTTACTCGGGGGTTTTCGGGGTTGCTGATTACGAATGTGATGTCAGAATTGAAAAATTCAAAATGGCGAATTTAATATGGCAGCCGAATTTTTAATAAATCGTTTACTTCGTTTGAAACTTGTTATTCGGAGGTTTTCGGGGTCGCTGATTACGAATCTGATGTCAGAAATAAGAAATTGATTATGTTGAAACTTAAAGAAAGAGGGGGTCCTTTAGGTTTATGTCATAAACATTTTGCTTCCTCCTTGTGTAAAGCAAAAAATTTGCTTCCTCGTGGAGGAAGCTATGAATATCTCTAATTCGATTGATTAAATTAAAATATTTCGAGTTAAAAATTGATTTCAATTAAAAAAAATTTTTGGAAAAGTAAGAAAATTTCAATTCATTTTGGGTGTAACATATACTTTATATTATATATACGAATCGATTCGTTTCAATGCAAGGAATTAAATTATTTTATTTATTAACTTGAATTTAAAAAGCATAAAAATTTTTTAGCTAAAATGTAAAATTTTGAATTTTTAACTTTCATTAATTCTTTAAATTTCAATCGAATCTATACCTTGTATATACCAATCGATTCGTCTTGACGTAAGAAAAACGATTATATTATATATTACCTTAAATTTTTGTATTTAAAAATTTTTCAATTAAAAAGAATGTTTACCATTTTCAAAAATTTTATAAACGAAAAGACTGCAAAGCATCCTGCACGAGGAAGCAAAAACATTTGAATGATAAGTACTTTTATATTTGATTAAAATAATTTTTTTTGTGTAGAATTTTCATTTGCCCGAATTATTATTATTCCATAATGTAGAAAAACTGTTCAATGGAAATTGTTTCTAATAATAATTTGGAGTTATAAAAATTGCTCTAAAAGAAAATTATTTCACAAGAAATTCTTGGAAATGAAAATTCTAACATATAATTTTAAGAACCCGTTTAGTTTGTGAAAATTGTGATTTTTATTTATCACTTAATTTTTTTCGCGAGGTGGCGAAATCGTACATAAGGTAGATTCCTTCATTAAAGAGCCGCGTTTTCTATATTTTCCGCATGGTGGCGCAATCGTAAATGAGGTAATTTCTCTTATCAACGAGATGCGTTGTGAAACGTATAAATACGAGAGACTTTCAATACAGAAATATTACGAATTTTTCGTGTACTTTTGCAGGTAGGTATTCTGTGCATTTCAAACATAAAAAAATCAGTTCTTTTCAGAGCTATTCCTTTCCATTTTTCCTTTTTATTTTTCCTTCTATTTTTCGTTTTTTTCTCAGTCATATCTTTTTAAATTTTTTTTAAATTTTTTATTTTCATCTCTACATTTCTTTCTCAAGTCATTTTTTCAAGTCATTTTTTCAAATCATTGTTTTATACTTCTCTTTCTGTTCTTCCCTCTTCTGATACTTTCTTTCCTATTTTTAGTTCTTTTTTTGTTTATTTTCAGCGACTTTCTTCTGTCATTTTTATTTTAATTGTCAAAAGGTAAGTTTTTTCAATTTTGCATTGAAAGTTCTTCCTTTCTTTTCGAAATTGTTAAATTTCAAAATTATCATTTATATCATGTAAGGCGGTGAAAAGAAAACTTCTAACTATCTGCTTCATGTAGATAGATGCAGTAACTCCTTAAACCGTGAAAATCACAAAGGTTCAGATTTAAGGATAATGTCAAAGACATTATTAAAACAATTTCCTCAGGTACCAAAAAATGCAAGAATTTGCTCTCAATGTCGTAAATTATTTAATAAAAGTGTTGTCACTAGATTTTGATCATTCATTGACAGAAGAGCCAGAGAGTAAACGGAAATGTTTGTCAAGAGCAGAACAATTAAAGCAACTTTTAACGGGGCTAAAGGATAAATTTTCTTCTTTACCAATGAACGATCCTCTACGTATGTCTATACCGACAATTTCTCCTGAATGATGGACTGTACGACAAGTTGCGTCAGAGTTTGGTACTTCAGAGAGACATGCAAGGAAAGCCAACAATTTGAGAAAGAATGGTGGAGTTTTGGCAACACCTGAATCAAAACTTGGTAAAACACTACCTGAGGAAACAATTAATAAAGTTAAAGATTATTACGAGTGTGATCAGAATAGTTGTATTAGGCCAGGTAAAAAGGATACTGTTTCCGCTAGAGTGAATGGAAAAAAATGATACTACAAAAAAGACTTTTGCTTGTAGACATTAAAGTGTTGCATAATCAATTTAAGGAAAAGTATCCTGAATTTCCAATTAGCTTGTCGAAATTCGCTGAATTGCGACCCAAAAATTGTGTCTGCGCAGGATCAGCAGGTACACAAAGCTTCTGTGTGTGTGTGTGTGATTCATCAAAATTTCAAGTTGAAATCTCCAAGAAGGCGAAGTGTTACTACAGTGTGATTTTTCTGAAAACTACGCCTATGTTGTACAAGATTCTGTACAAGGTTTTCATTATAATAATGACCAATGCACAGTGCATCCTGCAATTTTTAGGGTTCCGTACTCGGTTCGGAACCCTATTAATATCGGTTTTTTTGAAATCGTGTACCCCTTCCCCCCTAGCGGCCACACAAATTTATCTGGAGGGCTGAAAATTAGTACACATATGTATTTTTGCGTGTAGATTACAGGAAAAATATAGCGAACGTGATTGGAATTGATTAACATAGCGTTGTCAAGGAAAAACCATGAATTTTTACGAAAAATGCCTAAAAATGACTATGTACCCCCCCCCCTAGCGGCCACATCTTTTGACATAAAGAGCTCAAATTTGGTACACTTACGTATTTTTACGTGAAAATTACAGGAAAAATATAGCGAATTTGATTCCGATCAATATACATAGCGTTGTCAAGGAAAAATAAAAAATTTCGAAAAAAATGATTTATTCTCCCTAGCGCACACAATATTCTACCCAGACAGTTCATATTTAGTATACAAATGTATTTTTACGGGAAAAATACAGGGAAAAAATGTAAGCGCGATTGGAGTTGATGATCAATTTTTATCAAATTTTTGAAGAAAAATGATAAATTTAATAAAAAAATGTATTTTTCCGCAAAAAACGAAAAAAATCGGACAAGTGCGAGTTACACTCGCACTGAAATCGAGGGTTCCGTACTCGAAGCGAACTTATTTGGTATAAAAACAAATGTTTAAAAAATATGTGTTGTGTATTAAATAAATTTATTCTCCCTAGCGCACACAATATTCTACCCAGACAGTTCATATTTAGTATACAAATTTATTTTTACGGGAAAAATACAGGGAAAAAATGTAAGCGCGATTGGAGTTGATGATCAATTTTTATCAAATTTTTGAAGAAAAATGATAAATTTAATAAAAAAATGTATTTTTCCGCAAAAAACGAAAAAAATCGGACAAGTGCGAGTTACACTCGCACTGAAATCGAGGGTTCCGTACTCGAAGCGAACTTATTTGGTATAAAAACAAATGTTTAAAAAATATGTGTTGTGTATTAAATATATTATATGTGATACAAAAATGAACAATTTTTAAAAAAAAATTTAAGAAAATTGTTTCTCCTTTGGTATAAAAACAAAAAAAAAATCCAATTTGTTTTGTATTTCAAATAATATAAGTGATACGAAGAGGAACAATTTTCTTAAATTTTACAAAATTGTTCCTTTTTGTATCACTTATATTATTTGAAATACAAAACAAATTAAAAATTTTTTTTTGTTTTTATACCAAAGGAGAAACAATTTTCTTAATTTTTTTTTTAAATTGTTCATTTTTGTATCACATATATTATTTAATACACAACACATATTTTTTAAACATTTGTTTTTATACCAAATAAGTTCGCTTCGAGTACGGAACCCTCGATTTCAGTGCGTGTGTAACTCGCACTTGTCCGATTTTTATTATAAAGAAAATGGTGAATTAAAGCATTGCAGTATTGTCTTGCTATCCGAATCTACTACGCATGATACTGCAGCAGTCTACAT